GAAAACAAGCTCAAGTCAGTTCTAACCATTATGAATAAACCCATTTGGACTCTTTTGTTTTAAATGTTTGCTTTTATAAGAAAGTTTTTCTTGTTTTTTTGAGGGAATCTCTGCAGAACATTGATTTTGCTTTCTGCATTTCAACTAAACACTTTCCATTTATTTCCCAGCATCGATGAGTTGGCTCTGAATCCCAACTAAGGAACCTCACGACATTGAAGAATCTGGTGAGGAAGAGTCAAGCTTGTTACTTAATCAGCAAGAAATAAGAAGTTTTTTCTCACTCTCACAGTTGCAAGAGCCTGTGGGGCTTTTCCCTGCTTGTTCTTGTTCTGGGCAGTACTTTTTTATTACAGCGTGTCCAGGAACAGTTGTGCCATTAGCCAGGATTTGCCTGGCCATTGTGTTGCTACTGTGTCTTTTTTGTGGTGTGAGATGTGAGCTACCGAGGATAGGACTTTCTATGATTTCAGCAGCTGCCGAAGTATGAATACTCAGAGGCAAAGCAAACGTTTTACTTTTTCTCATTACTTCAAGAACAACAACAACTTTGTAACTTCTTTATGGTATGCAACAAGCTCAATGTGCTGAACCTTCTTACTCCAGAAACCGCTTGATTCATGTGGATGCTGTGTCACAGCCATTTTAACATTTCATTGTTTGTTTTTTGGGGGGCAGAGTGGGATAGAAATACATTTTACAACTACCCTGCAATACCTTAGCAAAGTCCATGTTTAAGACCTCCGCTTTCTAAAGGCAACATTCTTGCAAGCCAGTAGAGATTAAAGCAAACACTGGCAAGTGTTAAGCTCAATATTCAGAGAACAAATGATTTGGAAATGCAGTCTGGCAGACAGATGTATGAGGAATCGAATCATACAGGAAGCATTTAAATAAAGGTGGCAAGACGACCTGCCTGTTTTCTAACAAAGTTCTTCAGTTTTAAGTATAGGAAGTATCAGGCTAATAACTTCGCTTCAGAACAATCACACTAATAGAGCCATTAAGGTCATTAGCAGGGTAATTAAAACAAGTGAACCAGTGGCCCTACACTGCATTCAGCTCAATGCTTTAGTTATTGTGGCCTTACAATCCAAACATGTCCCCAACAAGGCCACAGAGTAGTTAAAAAAATAAATAAATAAAAGAAATGCATTGGCAGACAATTAAAATCTGATTCCATCCTTATAACACATGAAATCCTTATATAAATCTTCATCTTATCTGTCTTAATTTTTTAAGCATATATATATATATATATATATATATATATATATATATATATATATATAAACTTATCAAATGGGATCTATAATAAATCTGTTAAACCAAGTTTTTTAAATTTTATATTTTGCAAAGCAAAGACAATTCTAATGTCATTTTTCAGCTGTGTGGTTTTCAGTGAATTTTTGTAATCAAAAAAGCACACCACTGGCTAGTATACCTAAAGTGTGTATAGTGGATCGGGTGCTGTATAGAATGCACTTCAAAGATGACAGCTTGTACGTGAACCTGTTACAATAATCACACGTTTACACATACTCCCCCTCACACAGGCTGTTTGCACATTTGTGTCAGTAGTGGACTCACAAGGCATCCGCAGCCTTTATACAAACAGAAAAGCTTATTATCTTCATTTATCCCAGAGACAAACTGGACACTGGAGCATGTTTGATGTATTCTGTATTTTTGCATGGATGATGGACAGCAGGCACATATCACTCAAATCATTCCGCCTATTAGAAGAGGATTTTATTTTATTTTTATTTTATTGTGAAGCATTAGAACACAATAAAATTATATAAGTCGAGATCCGAGACATTTGCAGTTCATTTTGAGTCACGGTTTGATTTATTAAGCTATAGTTTTGGTGATTTTTGTTTTTTTTGGAAGCATCTAATTAGTATATCTGATATTATGTTAATATAATTTTTTCACTCAGGTATCATCTGAAATAGATAATATATTGATCTTAGTTAAACTAAATCTGAATGTGGGGTGTTTGTTGTAATTCTGTTAAATATTTATCTGTTCTGTATGGATTGAGTAAATACTTAGCAAATATCTACATTAAGGCAGTTTTCATTACTAAAAAGAAATCCTTTAAGACTACAGGCAGCAGTAGAGAGAGGACAGATAAAACAAGTCCATTGGCTAGGTTATACATTTCTTTTTTTATTATTTCTTCACCATGCATCCCATAATGCTTCCTTCAATATATAACTGAATCATGACTATACGAGTGCTTCTGTCTTTCTAATTTTATGTATATAAGCTGTGTCAGTCACCATCCAGGTTTTTAAGAGACCTTTATTTTCAACCAGCTAAATTCAGGGATGGTTATTGGAGAATGAAAAAGGAAAAGATAGGCAGCAAAATGGGAACGATGACATGAATGGAGAGCTGGATGAATAAAGTGTTGGACTGCAAAATGAAGGAAAATAAGGTGGAAAATGGCAGCCGACTGAGGACAGACAGTCTGTTTAATGCACAGTCCATATAGCCTTTTTTATCTCCTCCCACTCAGTCCCTTTCTTTCTCACTCCCTCATCCACATGCAGGTCAGCTGCACGAAAATGATGGGGGGGGGGAAGAAAAAGATAGGAGAGAAAAGAGGACTGTGGCAGCAAGCGAAGAAAGATAGAGCATCCTGCACTCTCCTGCCAATCAGTCTTCTCTGTCAACCATTCCAACGTGTGCCGCTTGCTACGAGTCATGCAGAGACCCCTCCATTTAACTCGGCTATGTAAAAGGTTTTCTCAGAGGCCTAAAGGAGGTGAGTGCCAGGAACTAGATAAGGTCCCCTCCTGTATACCTGATGGGCCCTGCCGCAGGGAGGGAGGATAGAGTGGAAGAGCCAAAGAGTTTTGGATTAATACTTAAGAGGAAAGCTGTGAATGCAAACAGTAACGCCCAGAGGAGGTAAGGGGAAAATGAAAAGGGCAAGACTTTTCTTTGATGCTTTCACAGCTTTATTTTATATTCTTATATTACGGCTAATTAATGTTATTATTAACTAATTGTTTCCTGGTTAGTCCTTTCTTGCTCTGTACTCTGTCTGTGATTTGAGGTAAATTCAGCTAATATCTTCTTCCCAAATTAGGTTGTTGCTCAAAGTCAAATAAATCTTTTAAAATCTGCAACATAGATATAAGGCGACCATTGTGGCTTTTCTTTAGCGTGAGAACTCAACATGGGTTTTTATTTACGTCACTGTGAAAATAAATAGCATCCTCTATCAGTAATGACTTGTTAACGTCTGGGAAAAATAAAACTGAAACATGTTCTAAAATCATTTACTTCAACGGTAAAAAAAAAAAAAAGCATTTCTCACAATATCAATATGAAACAAATGTTATGTTCACACACAAATGTGATCCAAATCCAATGTTTATACTCATATGCAACTCATATCCGACTCTCTCAAGGCATTCAAATCGGACCAGTTCAGATCTTTTCAGCTAAAAATAACATCTTATTTGAACCACTTCTATATATGCTACTACATATGAAACATATCCAAGTTTTCAAAGCATCTATAGTCTGAACGGTTCAAACCAAACAGACCAAACAGCAGCAGCAGTTGCTAAATGCTCCACTAAAGGCTGTGGTTAATAACTCGGACCTGTTGTTCTTTTTCTCCTTCCACCGTTTTTTCATAAAGTGTTCACTCTACCCTCAGCTTTCATTTCTAAACAGTTTGAGAATAACACTGAGACACCAGCATTTTTTTTCTTCTTTTCAATGAAGCTTTATTCAACACTTCTAGTGACATGCAGGAACATTATTACTTCAGCAAACACTGCACTGGTGCGTTTTGTGTGAACATAGTCAAAGATTAAGCTTTAAAAGAGAAACTATTGTGAAGGAGAGAAGCAGCCAGGTGCTGCTTATTGTAACCAGAATTTAATTGGATTCATTAAATTATCTAAGTGCCACTTAGAAATACAGGTTTGGCTCTTTGCAGCTCTAAGATATACAGCTAGGTTAAAACAATGATAAGCTAGGAAGACAACAGCGGTGACCTTAAAGAAGTATATAAGCAAACAACCGATTTAGAAAGGATTATTTTTAAATTATATGGGGTTCAGTGTAATGTGGGACAGTTGTCAGTCTTCCAAAAAGCATATTTACAGCTAGTCTCACTATAATGGTATGGGGGTGGAGAGATGATGATATGGGTTTGCAGAAACAGGACAAAGTGACTTGCATCAAAATATTTTGGGCTTAAATCTATAGCCACAGAATCATCGGTTTACAGTGTTTTTGAACCAGAAGGACTTATTAATGTTTACCAAACAATGATAAAGTGACATCTGAAGTGTCTTTTTTCCCCAATAAATAACATAAGAACCACCTCTTCATCAGCTACTGATACTTTACACGACTTGAAAGAGGGTGGGTTTTCCTTTTATGAATTCTGAGGTACTCAACAATCTGCATTTATCTTTTTTTTTGTTTTAAAACCCCCAAAATGGTTAGGAAAAAAAACACATATAAGTGATGCAAATACTGCATATAATGAGTTTTTAATGCATCTTATCTCCATTCTTTTTTTCTTCTAAGGCACTTAAAATTACTGTGTGTATGAATAGTCTTGCACAAACAAACTTGCCTTGCCATATGTAATAATGCAAATAAATCTGTCTGGGAAGCTTCTCTTAAATGCTGCTCCATTACATCTGAACTTCCATCTGCTGCGTCTCAGTTTAATTTGAATTTTAACACTCGCTTAACAATTAGATATGCAATGGTATTATCAGACCCATGTTTGGTTTGTATAAGATCAAGCTACCTCACTAATTATCTTAAGGTTGTGTAGGGAGAGTAAAGAAGACATGACAAAACATATTGAAAACGGAAGATGCAACAAATTATTGTATTTTATAGAAACATTTCTGTGCATCTCATGAGCATTTTTAGCTTGTGTCTCTGCAAAATGTCATGATGACATAATGACAAACTGTTGATTCTTTAAGAAATGGGAAAAGCACCCTTACTTTTTTCTCCAGTATTTCTAGTTGTTCTTTGTAGAAACTGGAAATGGTGGCCAGCTCCTTTTCTTTCTGCTCCAACTTTTTAGCCTAGGGAAGAAAACATGAAAGAACAGAGATTATACATGACAGCAAACGTTATAAGTTAAAAAAAAGAAAAAAAAAGTAAGAGTGATTAAATGAAGAGGACACCTGTTTTGGAAATGTATTTTCCATGCAGAGATGATAATGCCACGTAAAAGGATTGTGCCAATCTGTGTTAGTACTGAACCTGGCCTACCAAGGAGAGTCAGGAAAAAAAAAAAAATCTGTTTTTAAATACCAAGTATCATTAAGGGTGCCTTGAAGAATTTATCAACTTTTAAAAATGACCTTCAGCATATTTTAATGGGGAACTAACTGCCATGGACACAAAACACTTACTACTGGTGAGATGGAAAATTATTGATGAATTATTGATTAACATGCAAAGAATTTTTCTATTAAAATCTGAAAAAAAAAGACATTTGTATTCCCTTGGCTTTATCAATACCTCCACTGCAATGGTAACTGCTTTGCACAGCTAGACCCCGAAGTTTCTACACACCGTTTAGTAAAAGAATTCAAGCTCAGTTAGATTGGATAGATAATGTGTGAAAAGTGATTTTTTTTATTAATTTTTCAAAACATCCTCATCTGATTCTTGGTTTGTCCCATCCCAGCATGGTTTCATTAAATCTAATCCACTGTATCTCTGGCAAAATGTTTAGTTTTCATCCTGCTTGAAGGTAAACATGCTTCAATGTGAGGACTCCAGGGTGATCTACACTGTTAGTTTTCCACAACACTAAATATTGTGCAAGTAGACCAGAAAGTTTACCCTTGCTTACATCTGATTAAAGTATCTACTTTAACATGTTTTCTGTCTCTCTAGCTTCTTATGTAACCACAGACTGTGCTTCCTTTTCTCATAGACTTTAATCAGCAATGAAGTACTCAGCTAAAACTTGTCCGGTAATAGATCTTCCCACCAGAGCTGTGAACCTGCAGCTCTATCAAGAGCCCCTTGCCTGCTTCACTGAATACTGCTCTCCTTATTTTTCCTGTCAGTACAGGGAGATGGAGATATCTTGCATTTTTTCTGTACTCTTATCTCCAAAAAAAGAAAAGAAAGCTGCTGAAAGCTTAATATAATGAGTTAAAGTTGAACCCTGCTTTATGCTACTTCAAAATGTTCTCCCTGACCCTCTGCTGTGTTCCTTGGTCGCCATGATGCCTTTTGTTTGCTAATGTTCTTCTGAAAACCTGTGACACCTTCGCAGCACAGCTGGAGCTATACTGAAATAGAATTACACATGTGATTACTAAATAGGTGAGTAATGAAGTAAGTGGTTGGTGGGTGGCTTTGTAAATGGGCTAAGACAAACCCACACGTTTCTGATAATTATTTGGAAATTCACAATAAGACCCAAATAAGTTTAATTCACTTAGAAAGCAGCAGCACAGGGGGCACTAATACGATGTTTAAATGATGTGAAAATCTCAGCAAACAGCCTGAAAGTTGTGCTAAATATATTTTTAAAAAATACACATTAATTAATAATCCCTGTAGAAACAAAAGTATTAATCCCCCTGTACTGTACATACAAGCAGAAGAGTTACAATGGTGCAAATGTTCTTGGATATAAAAATAAAAAAGTAACTATACACTTTCTTAACTTGATTATGCAAACAGGGCCGGTGTAAAATAATCTCTGAAAATGTTTGCTGAGCTTACATTTCACATTACTATATTGTCACACACAGCAGCAAGTCAAACTGTTGCTAAAACTGGGAAATCAGATTTTATTCACATGACTGAGCCTAGAAGTGTAGTATAAAGAAGAAATATAGTCCAAAAAAGGAATGAATATATATATATATATATATGTATATATATATATATATATATACACACACACACACACACACAGTACAGACCAAAGGTTTGGACACACCTTCCCATTCAAAGAGTTTTCTTTATTGTTATGACTATGATTATTGAAGATTTAACACATGTGGAATTATATACTTTACAAAAAAGTATATAATTCCACAGCTGATAGTACAACTGAATTGGACTATCAGCTGTGTATCCACCTGACTTCTGCAAAACACAACTGATGGTCCCAACCCCATTTATAAGGCAAGAAATCCCACTTATTAAACCTGACAGGGACACCTGTGAAATGAAAGCCATTTCTTGAAGCTCATCAAGAGAATGCCAAGAGTGTGTGAAGCAGTAATCAAAGCAAAAGTTTGCTCCTTTGAAGAACCTAGAATATAAGACATATTTCCAGTTGTTTCACACTTTTTCGTTAGGTATATAAATACACGTGTTAATTCATAGTTTTGATGCCTTCATTGTTAATTTACAGTTTTCGTAGTCATAAAAATAAAGAACTCTCCTTGAATGAGAAGTTTTGTCCAAATCTTTTGCAAATATTCATTCATTTTAAGTCCCAAAAAGGATCCAAAAATGTCCAGATAGCACAATTAAAGTGATGGAGAGCTGCAGACTAATGTGTTTTCACTAGAATCCATGCAATAGTGACAGAGTAGCTGTGAGAAAGTCCATTTGGTTGCACATCAACACCACGCAATGACACTTACAAAACTAGAGAGGTGGCATGAGATTGGCACAGCTGTGGCAGGAGGTGACATGGTGTTGTCGACATTAGCAGGAGGTGAAAGCCTTTAATAAGCCCGCTGAGCCAAGCTTTGACAGGCAGCAAGATGGTGGACTGGCTGAAGGAAGACCCACTGTTTGGGCCGTGGCAAAGCAGCATGCGAGCAGAGGAAGACAGAAGGCAGATGTCAAAATAAAAGAAAAAGGAGAGACACTCTGAAAAAATGTTGGCAGTTTAGCTTAAAGAAAGATACATGCATGCAGTGGTGAGAAAAATTAGACTTCTTTTTTATAACCAAAGACCATACAGTCTGTAACTTAAAACTGTTTGTTAAAAACAAAGAATTTAATGAATAAATACAGATAGAAATAAAGAAGCAGAAATCAATGACATTAATAATTATGCAGGATAAACAAAAAGACTGAAGTTGGGAAGCATCATCAAATCATGGGGCAGCTGACTATTAACAGTCTGTACTCAACAACACTAAGAGACATGTTCACCATGACATTATGTAGCTGATTCTGAGGTTTGTGCTCTTTTTATCAATTTCATTGAATTCAAATGAATTAAATGAATCAAAAGAAGCTGACTGGATTTCTAAGTTAAATTAAATACAACATATATAATATATTATATAAAACATATGTTTGGACCAAGCCCTCTACCAGTCGAACGTCCATCTTTTTTTACTTTATGTATGCATCTCTGTTTTTGGAAAATATTACAAAATACATCAAAACTAATCATTCTTCAGAATATTAAATTAACTTCTTTAAGGAAACTTCTAATGGATTCTTTCATTATCTGCTTTTACTAGATAAAAGAAATAAAGCACACTGTGAGTTTTGGCGCAAGTTTTAGACAAATGTCACATTTTAAATGATTTTTCTGGTCAATTATGAGCACTTGTTATTCCATAGGAGTGGTTGATCTTAAAAACTCACCTATGTAACTTAAGAGAGTTGAATTCGCCACAGTTGCCATTCGCTTTAAGGGTGACTTAACCTGGCAGGTACTATAAAGGTCTACCACCCCAGTGGCTTAAAGTATCAGTGTCCATGATGCATTTAGGGCATTTTTAACAGATTGAAATCAGAAAAGCAATTGACATCAAATTTGATCACTTTATAAACAGATACACAACATGTCCATATTTATTGGCACCACTGCAGAAAATGTGTAAAAAGGCTAATACACCATCTTCATTCCAGCAGCACAATGTCACAGAAAATTGGAGAAATATCCAACCCTTAATCTAAGTTATCTTTTAAATTAATTTATTATTTCCTGACAGCTTTTTGATTTATTTATTTTTTTCTTGTTTCGTTTTGATTTCATTAAACAAATTACGAACGTCAGAAATGACTGCTACTTTATCAGTTGTCATCATTATCGCTTCTGGGAAGTGACCTGAATTCAAACTGCAACTTCACAGAAGCTGCTAAGCATTCTTTTAAAACAAGCTGTCATGCCCAGTTACTGTTAACAACAACAAAAAATATCACGCAAGATGTTTGCAGCTAGCAATATAACTCAAGTTTAAAGTTTATCAGAGCTGATGTCAGCCTAAACTATAGCCCAAGTTCATTGCCCCCCCCAAAAGAAATCATGACAGTTTTGAATTCACTGATTGATCACCAAGCCCTAATACTTTGTAAATATACTTTGCCTTCTGTACAGCTTCACAAGGTCCTTTAAATTTTATTATGTTCTTCTTTTCAGTTCAGTCTCCAGGTTATCTTTAGGGTCTATGGGACAGAGACGGAGGAAGCTATTGTTGACTTGGCCTCATATTTATAATAATATATAATAATTGAACTTTATTGATCTCACATTGAAAAAAATGTACCTCTGCATTTAACCCATCCCCTTTGGGAGCAGTGGGTCGCCATCGTGGAGCACCTGGGGAGCAGTGTGAGGTTAAGGATCTTGCTCATATTTTGGATTATTATCCTTTTAAAAGACCCAATTATGACCCAATTCCTGTTTCTCATGGAGAACAACAGATCTTATGATTTCATGCACTCTAAAAAGGTTTTCAGGTTCAGAAACAGGCCCACAGCACCATGGGTCCTCATCATACTGGGGGTGTAAATAATACCCATTTTGTATCAATGCATCGATCCAACAGCCGACTATCCGACACATAGGCACGTCTGCTAGAGTATCGATTCATGTTTTGTTTTATTCTCCTGTCTATTTTTATCCATTTGCTTCTGGACGCAATTCTGATTCAGTGGGGTTCGGTGGGCTAAACTTATTTTTCCCTCCTACCTTGCTTCCTTTAACCACTACCCTCTTTCCGTTAGAACACACACACTCGCATAAACAGTAGGTAAGACAGACACAGCAGAGTTAGCAGAGATTAACCAATTAATCTAATCTAATCGTATCATATTGGGGTGTATTCTTGAGTATCTAAAATAATCAAATGGTTGGGTCAGGATATTGATACTGAATCGAATCGCCATGATGGGTGTGATTTACACCCCTACTTCATACATTGAAAAGGTCTTAGGGTGGTTTTAACATATTCATAGTTTATTTCATACCCAACATGCATAAAATGTTTGGTACCAAGCTGTGCACATGGACACCATCAAATGGTTGTCATGGCGACCTGACACTGAGACGCTAGCCCTTTCTGCAGTTCTCTCTGCTCACTGTACTTAATGGCAAAACAATTATGGATATACATAAGTCCTTCCTAGTGGCCAGTGGCTGAGAGAAATTTGGCTCTGTCAAGTTTAAGAAACTCCTATAACAATATTGATTTGGGTATTTTTATTTTAAATGGATTTGAGGGTTTCCACAACTGTTGCAATTCCTGGTTTTGTTGAAAACAAATGACCTATTATGCATCGTTTTAGAAAAATAAAAATTTGTCAAATTTAAAACTTGGATTCTTCTAAATTTTTCAGAGGGATTAATAGCTCAGGAGTAAAATATTAAAATCTGGCTTTTTAGACATTTTTGACTGAAGCACAAAAAGTGTAAAGCGGACTATTGAGTGAGTTTCAACATCTAAAAACAGACTCCCTTAAATCTTTCCAGAGGTCAAATATCTTTGCCTTTTATGGCTGATTAATTATCTTACTGTACATTCAAACAAATCAAATGTTTAGTTTAAGAAAGTGGTTTGTGAATGCAATTAATCCAGTATGAACGTGACATTCTGCTTGAAAACAAAGAAACTACAGACATCACACATGGATGTCTGTAGAACTGGACAGGAAAGTAGAACTACTCAAAAGATACACACCAAAAACTATATCACATTGATGAAGACACTTTTTCTTGACAGACCAACTATTTATCTGAACAATTATAATATTTCAGGATGCAGACAATCACACTTACACTGACAGACATAACATTTATCAAACTCCAGCGTAATCTAATTCCAACTTAAAAGACAAACACATCTTCGAAGGGCACATCTGCAAGTCCTTACACTGCGCCCTGCTTTCCAACAGCAGCTGTCTGAAACTTGGAGAATGCGTGTATATGTGCGTTTACATGTAAAATCTCCTCTGCCAGCAGCACAGATGATGTGTAATTTTCTAGCTGAATACCTCCCAAAGGTTTGTTGTGTGGAGATGATGGCGGCAGCACACTTGCAGCCTAGCTTTAATGCACGATGAAAACATGACATCTAAATAGAGAAATAAACGTAGACTGAAAGGAATAGTCGAACTAAGAAGGTAAAAGTGTTGTTGCTTACCCAAGCATCCAAATCTGCTGGCTAGGAAAGAGAGAGGGAACTAAAGTTAGAGAGAACAAGGAAGGTGGAATGATAGCAAAAAGAGAGGTTATGAAAAGACAGATTCAGAAAGTACCATTCAGAAACTTTTCTAAGAAGGAATTTTAGTACTTCTCTGCTCCAAAACCCTTCATGTTTCTAATATTGCATAAAATATTTAAATCTACCTTTCATCTATTAAGATGTGTCATCAAAGCTGCATCGTTATGGTAAGGATACTTCCTCTAAAGACTTCAGAAAACCAGATTCAATGAAAGCTGTCCATACTAATGATCCAAATACTTCCTAAACTTAAGGCAGCTCTTTTTTTTCCCCTGTCTTCTTACTTGATGAATCGATTATTCCAGGCGTGCCTGACCTCAGTAACCATGGCCAGACACAACCGGATTATTCAGCTCATCCGGTAATGAAAGACCAGAAACAAATGACTTCTCTTAAGTTCAAAAAGTATTGGAGTTGTGCATAAAGCCCACTTAGCTCCCATACAGCTGCTGCTATGGTACTAGGATCTAAAATGCCATGTTGTACAGAATCTACTAATAAATGCTGCATTTAAATACAGCTGATAACGCAGTGTTATAAATATCTAATTAGGCTCAACATCTTTTAAATCCTTTTAGTTGCAGCTTCTGGATGCTCCATAGGAAGCAGAAATGTCGTGACAGACACAACACAAATGTGAGAACACAGAGATCGGCCTACCATTAGCAACTAAAGGTACTTAAGTTTAACGGATGCTTCATAGCTTCTAAAACTCTTTTTTCACCGTTAGTTTAAACCATCTTTAGATTAAAAGTCCAACAAAGATAAAGCTGTAAGTAAAATACAATCTATCAATTACCTCTAGCTATAACTGTTGTGGTTTGTGTAATTAAATCAGTCAAACTTCTGTTTATCATTACATAGAACAGCATTGCAGTCATTCCTTCAGTTTAGAAAATAACATAGAATAGCTGCCTTATACACCGAATATAACCATTCAGTTTTGATGGTTAGAACTTTGGGTGTATATCAATAAAGGTGCTGAATTCCAATAAAATTGCATTTCAGCAAGAGGAAACTAACATTTCCCTAAGCCAAGATAATGACAGGGATTTAAAATACTTACATAGATCAAATCTAAACTGGATATGATACTTAGATTTGAGAAAACTTTACATTGTTTGCGAATACACAAAACATGTTAGAGAGTCTTTTTGGTTTTGGAACTGAATTAGAAATACACAGAAATCTTAAGTTCAGTGTGTGACAGTGTCTAACCCTGATCACGGATGCTCCATCAAATAGTTTTTAACTCATGAAACCTGAAATCTAACTGTGAAAACTGCAAATGGGGATTCCACAATTTCTAAAAAATATTGCCAAAATGTGACTCATCACTTTCTTGTGACAGTGTTTCTTGTCTTGATGTATTAATACAACTTAGGATTTTCATCATTGTCATCGGCTTAAGATTCAAATATTACAGGACAGCTTTCTCTTTCAATTAACAGAAAAAAAATATGAGAAAGTTGATTTAATAAATGATTTAATGACTTCACAAATCTGTAGGCAAGTAGCTCAATCTGGCTGGATATAAATAATTAATAAATAACTGAACTTTATTGACCTCAAATTGGAGAAATTCACTCTCTGCATTTAACCCATCCCGTTGGGGAGCAGTGGGCTGCAATCGTGTGGCGCCCGGGGATCAATCGAGCGTTAAAGGTCTTTGCTCAGAGACACAGAGTGGTAGTCTGCAGGAGTGGTGCTTCAACTCAGAACCTCAGGATTCCAAGCTCTATGCCCTAACCTTGGTTGGCTCGAAGCTCGTCTGCCTGGCTGTGTGTTTCCTGGACGGGCCGCCTTTTACAGCTGCTTTTTGTATGTCTGCTTCTGTCTCCTTGAACCCCAGTCGGCCTCAGCAGATGGCCGCTGACACTGAGCCTGGTTCTGCTGGAGGTTTCTTCCTGTTAAAAGGGAGTTTTTCCTCTCCACTGTCGCAACAAGCATGCTTAGTGTGAAGGATTGCATTCGAGTCAATAAGTCGATGCAACCAACTGGTTTCCCTAAGATAGAAAACTTTGAATCAATATGACTGTATGATCTGATGAACTGTAAAGTGCTTTGAGATGACATGTGTTGTGAATTGGCGGTATATAAATAAACTGAATTGAATTAACCACTAGGCCGCCACTCCTTATTATGAAGGCTTTCTGAATAAATGATAGCGAACTGCTGGCTTATTCAATCTTATACTGCGTTTTTTTTTTTTTTTATTTGTTATAAACTTTAGCATTGTCAGTATTTACCTTAACAGGATCCCATAGAGGTACAATTCTGTGCCTATGAGCAATGAGTAAATGAAAAAGTGAAGGAGCCAAACAACTTAAGCTAAGATCCAGTGGGGAAAAAAAAGTGGAAGAAAGTGAATTCAAATGATTCAAAGACGGATAACAGAAAATTAATGCTCGGAATACGATATCAACGCTGGAGTTCACTGAAGCGGGAACTAAAGCCTCAGAAATTGGTAAGTTGATTGATGCATGAACAAGTACTGCCAGCAGATGGCAGGAAGGTTTATGTTGCCAACTGTGCCACAAGGTCGGTCACTAATACTTTTCAGGGTTATAAAAGGATAAAGTAAACATTATCAGGATGAACCTTTGCTTTATTTTGACATTAACATCTGTTTTTTGTGGGGGGGTTATAGGCATAGTGTGTGACTAGGCCCCTTTAAGTATTATGAAAGCTCCTGAGGAAGAACTATTACTGTATATCTGTTGTCTGTTTTAGAGCATCTGTGTAAAAAACAATCTAGAAACTAGGACTATGATGATTTCCTTGTAGGAATTTCTCTGAAATGGTGTAACCAAAATTATTAAATGACCATATATGCAAGGTTATCCCCGTATCAAACAATATTCAGACAGGCATAAAATGCCATGTTGTGTTTTTTTTCTAAGCTCTCCCAGTCTGCTGGTGGATACAGAACTCAGAGGGACAGATTAAAGCGGTAGGTGGCTCTAATGTTGCCATGCCTCATAAAAACACCATCGAGTTTAATGAGGTGGACTCACAAAGCCAGTGGCCGCAAAATGCATTTGTGTGGTTTTGGGTAATCTTTGTAACGGATACAGCTGACGCCATCTGTTAAACCATCCCGCTCTGAGAGTGCCCATGCATGTGTGTATAGCTGGATCCCCATGGGTTGCTCACAGGAGTGTGGCGTCCCATTTCCATAGACGAAAGACTTTAGAGGAGAGGTGAATGGGCTTGTTGAGATGAGGAGACAGAAAAACTCACACATACCCAAGCAGTTTGATGGAGTCTGCTTTTCATAGAAAACAGCATGACTCCAGGTACATCCGACATCATACCTATGTGGCTCAGATCTTCCTCGAAAGCAAATCTCAGCTGCTTTAAACTTAAAAATTAAAGAAAGTTTAGAAAAATGTAGTAAGCAAACTACAGTAATCATACTAAAATTTACTTCCATGAGCTCTAAATCCATTCCAAATATAGTGTTAGTAGTGGGATGAAACAGAGCAGAGAAATTCCTACAGTTCTCTTGCCACGTGTAAGGCCATTACAGTAAGTAATTGCTCTATCATCCAAGTTAAGTTACCCGATCCCAGTAAAAAAACGGGTTGTCATGGTGACCTGACAGCACTACGAAATTGCTTATAAGGCAGAAGCATTATATCTAAATACGAAGGAAGCTTAAGTTTTTTTTAGGGATGTAAATCAACAATTTAATAATAATTTTTTACTATGCAGTATTATATCGTTTTACTTGGATGAAGATACAGTGTTCCCAGTATCGCAAAGTGTGTTCCTTTAAGGTTTTTATTCGGTTCAATCTAAATGTCTGTGACAGACTGGACGCGATATCAAATTAATAATTTGCAGCTATATCAAAACTCAATCTGGATTTTAAAAAAGGATTTGGATTCACCAATTTGGGAAATCCAGGATAAAGCTCCTTTAGTACAACCACACAAATTTCATAGATTTCACACAGCAGGCCTTAATGCTCAATTATGATTTTTTGGGAAATCTGATTATTATTATTATTTTTATTTTTTTGCATTGCTGTTCATATTTCCAAATAATATGCGCAATGACATCACAAGCAAGCATCCTCTGTGTTTACAGAAGTAGACATGGATGGTAGTGCTGGAGTGCATCTAGCAATCTTTCCCAACTTTAAAAATGTAATCTTTTCAAGATGGTTAAAAAAAGACTGCTCTCAGCATTATTGTCCGACATGTTGCTGTTTTTCTTCCCGCCTCTGCACAGCAAGATGCAGAATAACGACCTTTGTTGAGTATTAATGTAGATCAGGTCGGATGAATGCGACCTGGCCGTTCACACACAGGTCACATTTGAAAAGATCAGATATGTATCAGATTCAGGACCACATAGCCAAGTGGCCTGGGTGGCATTGAAAAAAATCGTATCTGTGTTGTTCAGACTGCCATAAAAATATCGGATACAAGTCGCATATGGGCAAAAAAAATCTGATCTGGGTCACTTCATGCTGCAGTGTGAACATAGCTTAAAGGGCAGATTATACTGCAACTGCATACATCAAACGTCGCTTGGGTCTGGTCACGAACCAGTTTTACTGGTATGCCACTGCACCGTCGGTCTGGAATTTCTAGGGACGCACAGCAGATTTCTGCCAAAGCTCAAGGGGAGAGCCTATTCAAGAACACGCTAGAAGTTCACGGGCTGGCCACGAGAATTTTGCCGGCAGAGTGTTTATTTTCCACAACAATGGCGTGTCTGTAAGATATCACAGTCACAGAGATGGATCTATAGTTGATAGACATCGAAGACAAACAGGTTCTGTTAATGGAGTTGGCAAAAAGAGCGATTAACCTGTCGTAGTAGTTGTCCATTGTAGTTGTTCCTCAGTTTTTAAAAATGGTGCGCCCTGGGAACGAATCAAAAAGGACGACCACACAGACAGCCGGAAAGGCATACCAAGGACCAAT